GCAGCTCAAACTTACAATGGATGAAGTTCTTTCTTGGACAATCGACTAGCTCTAGAACAACAAAGTAGCAGAGGATTGAATACAACCAATTCCAAGCGATCAAATTCCCTTACTGCCCTCGGATCTGGAACCGCAATATAAATCAATACAGCAAAGCAGCAGTATCAACACGATTCAAGATTATCAGTCTACATTCAAGGATTGCACAAGATCAACGAAGAAACAGCACACTGGAAGTACCATGGACAGTAAAAAAAATCGGCGATGTAATTGATGATAACGATGGCGAAGCTAGACTGGGTGCGAGCAAGAGATCGGAGAAGCTAGGATCACTGGAAATAGACAGCTAGAGAGGATCGACTATGAGCGTAACAACCTGCGACCGACAGCCTGAATGACACACCTGCTTCACTACCTTTGGGATCTAGAACCACCAGTATATTAGACCGAACAACAATAACAATCATGATCAACATCTGAATAAGATAAAGAAGGAGAAGCGACGATGAGGAAGGATGATTTTGGAGGGAGTAATGCCAGTATTTATAGGCAACAGATCCCTTTCAAGCCACAACAACAAGGCAAACTGAGAAGAACAAACGTACCTGTCAGCATCCGATAATAGCGTCGGTCAACTAACAAAATTAGTGTGATTCGAGGAGTCGGTTGGGGATTGTCGGACGTGCGAATAATCGAGAAGTTTAGGCTGCGGCATCCTTCCTTTTCGATCGAGGAAGGCCATCTTGTATTCTTTATGCGATTCGACCAGGATCGGATACAAAAGGGAAAACGATTCAAATCCAAAACGAAAGGCTAAACCATTGGATCACTACTCGAAACAAAAGGAATGAAGATTAAAAACGATCGTCAACTAGTGAATCTACACCAGACTAGAGAAAAGAAAAGGAAGAGAAATCTGAAATAAGAGGAACTCACCTCGACTGCTGAAGCTATCCGCAAGCTCGCCGCGGAGCTAGTCTAGAAATCGATCGATAACTGTTCAAAGCAAAAATAGTTTTGTTTTAAGCTTACTAATTTGCAGATAATTAAGAAACTGAAGAAACGAGAAAGCCAGAAGTACTTACCGGCGGGGAAGCATAGTCGACTAGTGTAAGGATCGTTGACAAGCCGATGAGAAGATGGTGGACGTTAGCGGAGATGACCTAAAAAGCGATCGATAACTATTTTAAATCAAAGATAGTTTTTTTTAGCTAGAAACCAGAAATCGGAATACTTACCGGCGGGGAAGGATAATCGGTTAGTTCGAGGATCGCCGGCAGCCAAGTCGTTCAGGAGCTTGAGGATCGTCAACAGCCTAATTGTCGAGAAGTTGGTAGAAGTTAGAGAGGCCAGTGAACTAGGAGCTAGCGCGGATTCCTAAGACCGATTGAACCCTGTCACAAACTGTGACAGGTCATGGAAAGCTACAATTGGCGCGATCGATCGAGGACAACCTACAACCCGCAAATATCAATTCCCCTATCTCTGCAACTAGTACTGCGGACCTGAGTTCAACTCCCACCCCGTGAGAATACTTTGGAGTAGCCTACAGCCTGAATGCTGTGCACCTTGCTTCTTTTTTGAGGTCAAAAGATTAAAACCTAGAAAATCATGGTTTTTTTTCCTAACTCTATAAAATTCCATGAGTAAAACATTACACAACTTACAAAATTCACAGTTTAAACTGGGTTCATAAACCCTCATCTGGCCCAATTCCTACTAAGATTAAGTCAAAAACACCTTGGAATTTTTTTACTTTCATCACTCACGGATGGAATAATCTCAAGACAAAACAACTGAATAATCAACCACAACAGCTTGTCAGGCACCAAATCACCATCTCACCAAAATCAAATTGGATTAAAACTAGACCCAAATCAATTTCAACACCGGCATCAATATTCTTGGACAGATCAAGTAAAACTCTGAAAACAAAACAAACCCACATAAAAAAAATCTCAACATCTCTTCACCAATCAAAACTCCATGGATGATTTCACCAAACGACTCAACACACTTCAAGTCAAATCTCAACTACACACGGTCAAAAACTTATTCTTTTTTATTTTGTAATATTAGCTCCAAAACACAGTCAGAATCAGAATTGACTGGGGACAGCCAATAAGTTGGGGGAGGATGTGGTAAATAATACTGTGTTTCTACGCAGAAAATATAAAAATTTCTCATTATCTCTTTATTCATTCAAGATATAGTAAAAATGACATAAAAAATGGAATCCTCAGGTAAAATAACCCCTAGTCACCCACTACAACCATACCCTTATCTCTTATAGTTTAGAAGTTACACATATTTCAACCTGTCACGGGATATTTCTTGGATTCTGCACTCTAGCCATAGTCATTATGAATACAGGATGCATATTGCATACTGTATTCCTTTGTAGTAAATTGAATACCTTTACGTTGTTTTGAATCCCTTTGTATTAGTGATATTGCATGTATGCATCCCTTTGATCATACATATGCGTCCCTTTATTCATTCATATGCATCCCTTTGTAGTAGTATCATTCAGCCTGTACCCTGGGGCCAAAATCCCTCACATTTGTCTATATAAGGAGGCCTCTGCCTGCCAGTTGTTCCCTCCATCATCCCACCAGGGGTCCATCATCCCACCAGTGGACCAGATCATCTCAACCACCCTTATAAAGAAATCCATCTTATATATTATTTCAGAACTACAAGTCATAGCCACATTACAATTTCAGAATTATATACATTGAAATACAGATTTAACACTTTCATCATCATCATAAACCAAAAGTGCCCTGAACCATATTCATCAACAACAACTTCATCAATATAACCAACAGTCAATAACATCTTTATACCCTCACACATATCAATCGGCAGCTTCATCTTGAACTTATCCCTATCACCATATATAAAATTGCCAAGCTAAGCTTGGTGGTCTTGTTATTCTGATAGTATAGAAGGGCAGAGCTTGCAACTCCAACATACCCTTCTCCATTCAGCAAAAGGGTTTCTTAACCACTTTTGAGTCTTACAACGGCACCCCTCCGAAGTTGCCTCGAGGAGCTGACGTGAGTTTGGGTAGGGCTGCAGTTGCAGAAACGGCGGGGGCCTCAAAAAGGAAGCCAGTGGGAGTCGAACCCGGGTGGCCACACTACGGGCAATTAGGTGACGCTCCCGCGCGGAACGTCACCTAACCCAAGGGGGGCCCCTTTGGGTTAGGTGACGCTGCGGGCCGCAGCGTCACCTGTTTGCCTGTAGTGCCAGATGGACTGGCCGGTCGAGGGGGAACCTCGACAACTAGTCCGCAGGGACTTGTTGTTGGGCTTCCCCTTTTGAAATCATATCGACCCGTACTGATCGGTTCCGGGTTATTTTTACTGACATCACAAAAAAAAATTCAAAGTTTTTTTTTTTTTTATAATTTTTTTTTTCTTTAACACTCGTTTTTCTGGAGCTTTTAGACTGTCAGGACCCGTTCTAGCGGGTCGCGGCTGTAGGTAAAAAAAAATTTGGCCGCCGTGGAACCGACGTGAGCAACAAGAGCCCGATTGGCTTGGATGGGAGTTCGTGGAATTGACGACAAAGAAAAGCTCGGTTCGTGGAACCGACGACGAAATCAGTCCTTACCGAAGACTTACAGAGCTGATCTCGTCGGTTCCACGGATCAGCCGAGTTTCGTCGGTTCCACGATCCCGCTCGGCAAGAAGCGCCCCTGGGGTGTATGTATGAAATTCATTGATTGGAGGACTTCCTGTCGGATCTGGGAGCCTCGCAGTTTCCGATTTAGACCCAAAAAGTCTAGATTTTTGCAGGGAAATCTAGCTTTTTCGGCTCTAAATCGAAACTGGGAGCCCCGCAGATGTTGACGGGAAGTCATCCACTGGAGGACTTCCCGTCGGATCTGGGAGCCTTGCAGTTTCCGATTTAGACCCAAAAAGTCTAGATTTTTGCAGGGAAATCTAGCTTTTTCGGCTCTAAATCAAAACTGGGAGCCCCGCAGATGTTGACGGGAAGTCATCCATTGCTATTGATAAATTCTTCTGAATAGTCCAGAAACTCCAAATGAAATTGACAAGGAGCTCAAATGATGAACATGATTTAAATCATGGTATACATTTACCGTCCTTAATAGGGTTGCAGTAGGATGTTTCATTGAGTTAGCACATTACAATGAGCGCCGGAGTATGTTCAAAAGGAGGTGGGGAAACAGATGTTAATTTGGATTCCAATTAAGGACCAGAACACTTTAACCCCGATTTCCAGATTTTTGTTGATCAGTGTGACCTTAAGTTACGATACGATCACCTGAGATGTTGTTCCCCTGGAAGGACTTAATTACTCCAGATCGAAATGGAGATGAAGAGACGACGGAATTGATCACAAATGGTGGGATCTACAGAGAGAAGTGAAAGAGGGGGTTCCACTCGATCAGGTATTCAGGAGATGCACTCTTGAAACAAACCATAGAGGGCGAGGTTGCCGATGGCTGTCGAATCGCCGATTGTCAATTTTCGACAATTTTCAATCCTCCTTCGTCAGAGTGCGGACAAGCTTCAGTCCCTCACCCCCATTATTTGGACTCTGGAGCAACCATTCCCGAAGATTCAATCGAGCGGTGCACATTTAGAAAATGCACTTGCATCGCCAGTGCCACCCTCCTGACACCTTTCGGTCGAGATTGTTGCGACGCGGGGCACCGGCCCGCGACGAGTCCGACCGGTCATCAGCTCCGAGCGTGGCATCGATTTCACTCAGCATTTCAGGACCTAAAAATGGTTAATAAACCCCAGAGCTTGGCGGATCCGTCACCAGCCGGCTTTAGCAAATCAAAAGTCATCCTTTCGGCTGTGTCCAGGGGGATTACTGTGTAGCTCTCGCCGGGGATGTGAAATGAGAATAATTTGCCTCAAACGGCCAACGGACAGGTCACCTCCAAGATCGTGACACCGGACTTGGTTGGCTTATGTACTTGGTCATCGACTCATCCGTGCTCTTTTCCGGCTGTTCGAGAGTTGGCTTACATGCAATTTGTTGACCCTTCCGGACAGTGGTCGATTTCAAGAGCTCGTGTATGCGTCTGACTGAGATCGAGCTGAAATGGTATAAATCGGTTTGATTGGATTAGTCAACTGACCTCCTTCCGGCTGGCTTACAATCTTATCCATAGCCTCTATTCCTTTTTTCTTTTCTTTTCCGTTCGCCGGTGCAAGCTTGGAATAGTGGCCAAGTGTTCTATGCACATATCGAATCAATCTTTGTATCCTACGTAATACTCCAAATCAAGCTCTCCCCGCTAAAATAAATATTTAAATGGTTACTCAACTCGATCACCAGTACATAGAACAATGATGATATCATAATAAGAGTCTGCTGTTGATCAAGCCAGCTGATCTCCGATCCTTCCAGCAGAGTACTCTTTAACCCTTCCCACCTCGCCCCTCTTGACTGCTTTCTTCCTCCCCTCCTCCCAACAACTATCCTCAGCAGAACAATAAGCTAATAATACTCCCTCCATCCTCAAGATCTCCTCGGTGTCTTACTGCTCCACCGAATCAGACATCCTTCATCACCTTTTGTGTTTCCGCGGTATTACTCTATATTCCTGATAGCCTGTCGACCACCATGTCTACTGCTACCCCCGCTCACCATCAAAGTCTTCTACACAGGCTCATTCTTCCTGTGATCTACTCCTTTGTCTTCTTACTCTCGGTGATTCAATTCATCATTACTGCCGTCCTGGTCCATGATTATGAGATCATGGATATCCTACCATAGCATCCGTGACAGGTAAAAATCCTATCTTCATCACCCTCCAACTGCTCTAGAGCTACGGGCTGTCGCCATGCGTACGCTTCACTTGCTGACTGTCTTTTGATTATCCAGACTACGTTTTCTCCTGTTCACCTCGTGCTGGTGCTTGCTTTTCATACCGATCTACCTTTTCGCCAACTTGAGACTTCCCGGTCAAGCCCTCTCTTCCGTCTTGTCGAACGTCGGCTTCATCTCGTTGACGTGGCTCTTTTGGTTATGCGGAGCTGCCTCCTGGACCGACGCCTTGGGCGGAACCTTACACTGCGGCGATCTCTTCCTCAGAAATCAAGTTATCGACGTCAGCATCCCTTACTGTGGGTCTTTGAGGGCTGTTCAGGCGTTTGCTTGGATGATATGTGAGTGGACTGCCTTGCGTGAACAGTGCCACTTCGTGAGACTGATTACCATTTTTGGATCCTTTGTATCAATCACCAGGGCTCCTCTTCTCGGCTGCATTGTTGTATATCTCCACCGTGGCATTCCAGGCGAAGTCTCACCCGACCGGTCTGAAGGGCCCGATGCGCGAAGTTCCCGCGCCCACCTCCGCCGCATAATCAACTTCAAGCTTCCTTCAACGTACCGCTTGGCACGTTTTTTTACTCATCTCATTTTCTCTCGGGCACAGTAAACTCCACAAGAAGAGGCGTTTGTAGCTTCGAGGCAAGCGTAAATCACTTAAAAACCATGTTGTAAACCACCAAACATGACCGTGTTGTTCAAAAATCGATTTCTTCTCGCTTTGTAAATCACCTTTCAAGTATTTGTGAATTTTATTCTGCTGGCAATAGGCTTCCTGAAGGAAAGCATATCCACACTTCCATTACTCCTCTTCCGCAGATATTGACTGAGGAAGTTGGCTGCAAATAGCACTTATCCACCCTCAATCGTCAATGGGGGGGAGGGCGAGACTTACCATCGAAAAAAAACTCAAGTATGAGGATGACTTATTCTACTCCAAAAAGACGCTACAGCACAAATTCGCCGCGAGAAAATTTAACATTGATCAACTCAGCTCTCAACCCGAATGCCTTTTCCCGCTTCAGGGCTAGAAACTAACTGAAGTTGATGAATACTTGAAAGCCCATCCAACATTTCCAATCTAGGCTGAAATGATAACCAACCATAAACTGTGTCATCAGTCGTGCATATATTGAGAGGGAAACGATAAGAGTAATCAAAAAACTAACAAGTGACTCTTATTGATGGATGAAAATGATGGAGAAGGATGTGCAGCTGTTCTAGAAGGCAACAAGTATACATAGCTGTTCTAGAAGGCAACAAATATACATACATGATTACCGAAATAGGAAATTTGACTAAATTGCCTCATTACATGGGGGTGGGCAACTTCAGCTTAGTCTTGGCCCCTTTCACGCCGGAAATATGGTCTGCTCGATACATCAAACAAGAAAAAATGTGGCAAGATTGATGTTATGCAGAACTAGTCCACAAATCAGTACTTTATCAGCGAGAGGGCATCGCATCCTTGAGAAGGTACCTGTTATGAAGAGCTGAATACGAGTAACAGAATATATTATTAAAAAGTTCCTTTACCGTCCATGGAAGAGCCTTTGTGCTATTTGAAAGTTTAAATACTCCCGGCCTGCAAGTCTGCATCCAGAACTCTAAATGAGTCCAAAGAAGTGGAGTGATTTTAGTGATCCCGCGAGTGTTTTTTTGTTTCTTGAGCGTTTCTGCGGCTTTCTTGAGCGACTGATTGTTGCAAGAGCCGGGATGATTGGAGGCGATTGCGAGGGTTTTGAAGATTCGTCGGGCCATCTGGAGTTCTGTGGTCAGATTTATTCGGCCATGTTCGGCCTTCTGTCTTGGAACAATCGAGGAGATCATCTCCACATAAAACAAATACAACGGCAACACAATCCTGATACAGTTGTAATCCGTGAACATCGGCAGAGACAGATCCTGGGCCAAATTGATCCCGGTTTTTTCCAGCCAGCGTTGATGCCAGAGCTCGACAGAGCGGTCAAACTGGAAGACTACAGTCATCAATCTATGCCGTCGCACTTTACCGGATAGATGCGCCCTTTTCTTCTGTTTGAGGTCGTCTATATTATCAGCGAACAATTTAGCACGATCGAGATATTCGTGATGGGTTGGCAAGAATTCGGACGGGTCGATCAAGAGGATCGCTCCCGGGCGGTGTTTGAGTTTAGTTTGGATGCGGTCGATTTCCTTCTTCTGGACCGGATCGGAGGGAGGAATAGGTGCAAAGAGTGTGATCTCGAATACTAGTGCGTCCTGTAGGGGCACCAGTTTAACGCTCTCTTCCGAAGGATTGCGAGGTGTAGTTGGGAGAATGGGGCCAGGATCTGAGTGGGACGAAGAGGTCAACCGGGGTGATTGGGGTGTTGGAGGACTTAGGCTTAAGGTGTACCAGCCAACATGGGTGCACAGAGGAGGTGTCTTCTTGATGGATGGAGGATTGCGGGTCTTATTTTTGAGGCTTTTGACTACTGGCCCGAGTCCATCAATCCGCTTAGGGGTCCTTGGCTTGGACACACTGTTACTGTTAGTGCCGGAAGAGGGAGTGATGGGGGGTTCCGGGACGACGACGACGGCTCTGGATGCAGGGGCAGTTGGTGCGATTGCAGGACTATATTCCCACACGGGCTGAGCACCGGAGGAAGACTGCAAAGCTTCTGGCAGAGTGTGGCCATCCGGGCCTGGTGCTGATCCGTCTCCGAGTCCCTTGAGCAGGTCGTCGATGCTCCGGGCGTTCCAGAACCCCGGTCCAAACAATCCGTTCCGGTCAACCAGCATGCCCAGCCCATGCTTGTGGGAGTTATAAGCCGAGTGTTTTTGTTCAGTCGCCAGATGGGAAGCGTCGTAGTCTGATTGAGGCGGGTTGTGACCGGATGGACGGCCGGCTGGAGGGCCGATAGATTGGGGATGATGATCGGCCGTGATAGCTTGGTGATGGGCGGCTTCGGCGGCCGCGACTGAGAATGAGTCGCCGGCGAGCCCGTCGGAGTCGGGCGCGCATTGGTCCCAATCAAGCCACTCCTTCCATTGCTCTGAGACTGCTGGATGCTCGACCGGCTTGGGCTCGACGACGACCACTAAGACTAATACCAAAATACTGACTACCAGCAGACGCACTTTCTCGGGTTTGGGATTCAGTGCCATCGTTCGAGCAGGTGGAGAATGGAGGGGCTTCGACCGGCTTCAGCTTCACATACAGTCTCCCTTCGTCCTTGTTCTAACACAGTCTTGATGTTACTTTTCGAAGAGAGAACAAGTTCCTTCATCATCAAGATTTTTTTATCATGTTTAATATATCGGTGGTATCTTGATAGAGGACAGATGGTCCACATGAACTCGTGTGTGTGTGCAAAACATGACTTCAGTTACTGTAAAAGGAATGCGTACAACAATCATCCCACAACAACCATCCATCCCCAGTATGTATCACTAGAGAATGAGAGAATATCAGGTATCGAATCTTCACCCGGATGAGTCCCTGACACTTCACTCGACCAGCTTCATACTACTCGAAATGTTCTCTCCTCCCGGATTGTCTTTTCCTCATTTATGTTGTATCTGGGCTTCATTTTTTCTCATCAAACCATCATTCCATCGAAGCTGATTCGTTTTCTGTGTATGTCTATCCAAAGTTCCTTTGGTTTCTGTGAATATTTTTATCCATGTTCCCCCAGATCTGCCTCACAAGTTCTGATCTTCTTAGAACGCATCTTCCCTCTTCTTTGTGCTTGGGTCTCTTTGTGACATGCCAAAAAAAAGGGGGGGGGGGAGCTTCTTGACAAAGAAGATATTGTTCCTCATGATGGGGTTTGGAGCTCCCAACAACGACTGGCAGTGGAAGGGGGCTCTTCTTACCGAATTTTTTCTTTCTTTCTTTCGTGATCACAAAGAAACTTGTATTCTCACTTGACCTTTGTTTCTTTCCACTACTTTATTTCCAAACAACTTGATCATGATGATGCTTCATCCGACTCCTGAGGCCACCTTATTGTAAAGTGCTACTCGGGCGGGAGTAGTTCTGTGGCAGACCGGGCGCACGCCACATCAAGTACACTGGATGGTGTCAAGTGGGGTGGGCCACAAGTGGTCGATGGAGTATTTGATTTCTCTGGTTCCAGAGGGCATCAAACGGCATCACGCTCACCACTCACCACTCAGCCGAACCGTCCAATCTCAGACATCTGATCAGACATTGATACATACAAAGTCACAACCAAAAATGTTCCCCACAGATTGGGCTCAAAGATCGTACATCATCTATGCAGTTATTATGATGATGAGTCTCATGCCCTTTGTTCAGCTTTTAGAATCGCCCAAACATTCCCTTGCACGAAGACGAGTGGGCAATGAACCTACCCAAAGATGTGAAACCCACTATATCTTCCGAATACTTGGTGGACATTCGAGTAAGCACCCATGAGATATATACAAGCCGACATCCCATCCTCTCCTTTCCTTTCCCGATTGATGATCACCAAAATCCTCAAATTTATCTCTCCATAGTATGCAGAAACGCCCAAGGACAGTCGTACGAGTGTGACTCTGGGGATTGCTCGGGCGGTGAGCTGTTTGAACATCTTGAGGAGGTTGATCACCAAGAGGACTCTTTTTTGTGAATTAATCGCCGTTCTCTTTCTTCTTCCTTCCCATGCACACTCGTCGCTGCTGGTCCACTATCAGAGAGAATATCCAACGGTGCCTTTGCATTCATCAATTGTTGGCTGTGAAGCCAGACGGATCTTTCACCGGGAAGCCCAGGACAGTTTACCCATATCTGTATATCGCCATGGAGGGAAACATCAGTATGTTGTGATTCAGACCAATGCTCTCATTTGAACCAATGCTCATCTACCATCCCCCCCCGCTATGCAGAGGTTACCGATGGACAGAAAAACAACTTCGAATGTCCAAAAGCACAGAACCCACAACGTGTTTGTGAGTCTCTCTCAATCTTGAATCTCAGTACATCAAACTGGGCCCGGCCAGCAGACTAACCAAGACAAATCTTACTCCACCCATCAGCCTGTAGCTTTTGTTCCAAAGCTTCTTGAGCAGACCATCCATTGCCTCCCAAATATGCAACCTTTGCTAGCCTTTCAACTTCAAGATATTCAACCCAAACTTAGCAACAAGCCTTTTTTTCTGACAGATGACACTATCTTTCTCTTCTTTCTTCCATGTGCTTTTAAATCCTCTTGGTTCAACTGCTTCCCATCTCTATAGGAGTTTGTTATTATGAAGTATTTATCTTTTTAAAATTTCCTCTCATTTGGACATCACGTGCTTCAGCCCACATAAATTTGTTTTCTTTACTTGAGTGAGTACTTGATCTTGGAGGTTCATAGTCGAACAGCACTGTCTGGGCAGCTGGAATTACAAATTAGTCTCAGGGCTAGTAGGGTGACACCAAAGTCAAGTGGAAGAACATGGGAGTTGGCTGGTCACTGTCGAAGGACTTGCTGGATCCTTCTCATCTGATCAAATTTATCACCTCCACTAGCTGGGTTTGATGACCTTCATCCAAGAGTTATCTCGCAATCTCCGCTATTAACCCACCGCAAAGGGCCAGTTTTTTGTTGTTTGTTTTTGGTGACCCATTTCATTTCATGAAGAATTTGGAAGATGGAAGTTTGAGCCTGTTTTGTTTTGGAGGGGGGGGGGTCTGATTATGTAATCGATCGTTTGTCGCCTACTACTGGGTTTGGGCAGGGAAAGTGCCAAGATCAGAAAGAAAGAAAGAAAGATACAAAACCAAGAAGAATGTCTTTCCTTCAAAGCTCAACACGCACCCACCACCTCTGGCTAACACGAACCATATCACACTACCCTCCATCATCATCACGATCGATCTTCGGACTAAGCTGGCCACTGAAGAAGAAGAACAACAAGCCGACGGGAGATGGAACACGGACAAGCAAGCCAGCAGGACGACTACTGGACTCAGACGACCTATTCCATCCCTTGACGAGCTCACCGATCGCGGCGATGCGGGAGAAAGCCGGGCGGATCAAATCGATTGCACGATGTCCGGTCTATCCCTCGAAGCTGGTAGCCTACGATTGTCCGGAGTGTGGATATCCGACCCATTCCTCTCGAGAAGCTTGGGAGATGGATGGGGAGAAGGCCAAGTATTGGCCCCGACTCAGGGAGGCTAACGAGGACGAACACGACCTCAGATCGCAACGTCCAATGCTCGAATTCGACCTCCCCGACTGTCAGCCTTATGAAGAAACGATCACGCTCGCTAATTGGGACTTGCTCCTCTATACCCGTGGGTTCCGCTCAATCGACGAGGATCGCTCGAGACGTCATGTCTCTAAACTGTTGACCTATCCCATGACTATCGGCGCTATCTTGCACGAATTCAGCCCGTATTCTACTCGCAATCAACGCCTCACTCTCGAAGGTTATCGATCGCTAACCGGTAAGGCGTTCTTTTTTTTGTTCATGGCTACTTACCTCCCCTTTTTCTTCTAGATCTATTTAAGATTGACTAATCCAAAAAAAAAAACTAATCATAGTTTCAAATCCAATTTAACCACAACAGCACTACGCCAGTCATTACATCCACCACTAGGAACGAATACAGCCCAAGTACTAGGCCGCACGATCAATCCGATCCGGATCTTTATCTTGGGTGCCCGGGCGGAGTCGTCCTTACCACCGGCGGTATGGGCGCAACTCCCGTATCTATTCCCGTCGCCGGATGTGTCGTTTCAGGTGTATTTTATTGGGCCCGAGGTGATCCTGCCTCAACAACAGATCGTCGGGCCTGAAGGAGCGACGGAGAGTCAGGATGTCTATAAGCGTGGCCGGCCCAATACCAGCTTCGGGGTCCCCGCCTTCAGTGTGCCCGTCTCGCCTACTCTCACCTTGCATATGATCCAGGGCGCGTATCGCGAAGTGCATGATGCATTGGGACCGTTCGACCCGTACACGGATGTCTATTTCGCCTTCTCGCCCGGCTTCGGATTCCCAACGGTCCCGACCAACCCGTCTCATCCATCCTCCTCCTCCTCCTCCTCCTCATCATCATCATTATCATCAGAGCAAGGATCAAAGCAAAATGCATTACTGGATAGTCAATCGATCCAACTAGAGACTAATTGGAACCAAGACGTCAAGCTGATCCTCGACGAGAAATGCGCACTCTTTGGCGCCGGCTTCAGTCCTGCCGACGTCCAACGCGACGTCGATGCGCTCGAATCGGTCGCCGATATTAAGGAGCAGTTCGATTGGCTGTTGAATCCGGGCGAAAACGTGTTTGCTAGTCTTAAATGGGAGGTCGCTGAGTTCGATCCCGTGCGTTCTCTGCTTTCTCTCTCTCCTTCTTTCTCTCTCTGTTGTTCTTTTTTGAACGTCGTTTGATTGAACTCTATGATCCTGACATTTTCTGTTTTGATGTTTTTTATTTCTTTAACAAAAAAAAAGAGAGTGGCTGTTAAATCAAATTACGCCGTTTGGGGTATCAGGGGTAAACGGTTTGAATTGGATGAGTATTCTAGACGAGAGAAACTGCGACAAATCGCCTAGTCTTTTCACTATCCTAGACACATACACTCTTTCTCTTTGTCTCTTTGTCTCTCTTATGAATGGTGTATCCAGATAGATTATTCAGATCATCAGTTTGTTGATTACTTTTTTAATCATTCATCTTTTCACTTCTAATTCATCCCCCCCCCCCCCTCAAAATAAGAAGGAATATTAATGTTTGAAGCTGACAGTCAACTGTTGGAATTTGAAAGCGCTTTGAAAAGATCATATTATGGTTCATATAATGTTTGAGGTGTATGTGTATATTGCCGGTCATGTTCCGTGCTGTTCCGCGTGTTTGTATGGAGCAGCCCCCTTAAAATTGATTACAAGTAATTGAACCAGTTTCTGTGTGTACATAGCAGCCAAAAAAAAATAAGTTTGGTTTCGGGTTGAGTTGGTTTTTATTTACTGTACATCGTCTCCGGATGATCCCGTATCTCAAGTTGTAGATGGTTTGAGTTTATGTTGGGTTGATGAGATCTCAAACAACTTGATAAGCTTCAAATATTCCAACACCAAGAAGAAGAAGAAGAAGGATGTGGTGATCCAACAACCCAAGTGGTTGTGTAACCCTCCTCCGCCAGACTGAGACAGACTGAGACTGGGCCAGCCAAAACCCCCTCCGAGGGTCCCCGAAAGAAAAAAAACCACAACCAACCACAACATCACCACCACCAGCACCAGCACCAGCCTCGATAAAACAAAAAAAACAAACAAAAACAAGGAAAGGAAAGGAAGGATGTCTCGAGTCGGTCAGTCTAGACATCACTCACACTCACAGAAACACTGACTGACTGACTGACTGACTTGCAAACTTCAATGAAACAGTCAAAGGTGGTCGACTGTTCAAACCAGTGGCAAAGCCCAACACTGCGGGATCGAGGAAAACAACAACCGAACCACCAACAGAGCAAACTCAACAGCTGGGCCCTCAACTACCCACCCCTCCATCCACCTCAAAAACAACTGACTATCCTCCGGTCAACAAGCCCCCAGCCACCGATAACCTCCCCCTGTTCAGGCCTGAGACAAGCCCAACCCCATCCTTATCTGAACATGCCCAAGCTCCTCAACCCACCTGCTCATCATCAACATCAACATCAGCAGAAGCAGAAGCAGCAAAAGCAGCAACCACATCCTCATCGATCGCAATAAGCCACACTCCCGACAAGCAGCTCTCGGCAGCTGAGAAGATGAAACTGAAGGCCAAGGCTGCTAAGGCTGCCCGGGCAGCTGAGAAGCTGAGGAACCCTTCAGCCTTCCGTCGTTCTACCTCAGTCATGACCGACACTTCAACCATCTCAACCCACAGAAACTCATCCTCCTATCGAGCCATCAGTCCACCGATCACTACCACCCAAGCCTCACTCAAAACATTCGACGATATCTCAGTACCCGATCTACAGAACTCCACTCAACATACATCCCAACCCTCGCCTCAAAAGGCTTGGTCTCCTCCCATCGACCCCTTGCTCGACATTGCTGCATTCATCGACGGCACTGCTACGACCACCCTAACCGATCAACCTTTTAGACATCCAGACATCCCTGTCCCCGATATCCCCTCTTCTTCTCATCATCATCATCATCCTTCTCCTTCTCCATCAGGCCCAAGTCCTACTCTCTCCGATCACCAATCCCAACCCACTAATACTCAGAAACAACCGACCCCACGAGCCAGTCAAACTAAATCTAAACCACCGATCAAAAAACAACGTGCCAAAGTTGTGCGAGCCGAATCTAATGATCCTAATGAGGAGGAAGATATTTCACCCAGACTTAAGCGGAAACAACATCTTGAAGAACTCAGAAAGAATAAGAAGAAGAAGAAACCGAATGATGAGCGTGGAAACAGTCAGGCTCCAAGTCAGAATCAGGATGATAATGATGATGATGATGATGGAACTCACGCTCAGATGGATAAGATCAACGGGAAAGTATCTGCACGTTTCAAACGCCGGTTGGAGAAGACATGCAAAAAACCAGCGAAGAAAACCAAACGGACTCCACAACCCAAGAACAAGAAGAAGAGTAATTTAGATCAAGAAGGAGTGGATGAGAATGAAGGGCCGGAGGGGGAGGGGGAGGAAGAGGGGGAAGAGTCGGATGGGCCGTTAGATCCGACGAAAGTCTCGATGGCCGACTTGACGAGACCAGAGAGGGCTAAAGGACAGTCGAGCGAGGTGCTCGAGAAGCGGCTCCAACTGATCATCGAGCGCCGCGATCGGGAGAAAAACGAACGGCTGATGGCCCGCTTGGAGGCGAAGAAACAGGCCCGACTGGTCCTCTTTAATCGCGCCCAATCCGTCAAGGCTAGACGTAAATCGTTAAGTGATCGGCTGGATACGGATCTCCAGAATGATGATCATCCCGATCGGATGAGTACTGGTTCTTCTCCTCTTCAGGAAGCATCGGAAACCACTCCGGCTCAACAACAACAAGAAGAAGAAGAACAGCAGCAACAACAACAGGATGAAGATCCGAACGAGAGTCGCAAGCGAAAGATCATGGAAGAATACGGCCTCGAGGATCTGGATTCGGACGACGATCTAGCAGACTTCGAGGAAGTCGAGTACTCCGAATTCAAGACCTCGGCCAAGAAATCTTCGCAACCTTCCAAATCGACGACTACTACATCCGTCGATCAAGCAAATCAACAAGATCCACAGGATCAGGAGGAGCAGGAGGAGGAGGTCGTGGAAGAAGAGTTTAATGTCGACGATTTCGTCCCCCAGGCCGCCCACTTTGCGCCCCAATTGAGAGTCGTTAATGGCCAGATTATCCTAGACCAAGACTCGTTGGAAGTCGATCGTCGTGACCAAGTCTGTCTCTCTCTCTCTCTCTCCCCGCTAAAATAATTAAGGGGTTTTTTTTGAATGATGATTGGGGTTTTTTTTAGACTCCCCAATTGGACGAGATGGAGGTCGTCGAGGAAAGCGATTCGACTCGCTTGGTGAATTCAAATACTTGGAGTAAGGCCGTGCGTGGTGAACGCTGGTCGGTGGATGAAACTAATCTATTCTATGATGTCAGTTCTGGGTGCCATTGATTCTTCTTTTTTTTACCAACTCCACACACTACTCCCAAAAGACTTCAGTTTTTTTTTTTTGGGTGAAAAAAAAAGGATGAATATGGTGGTGAAGAAGGATGATGATGATGATGATGCTAATACCAATGTTGGTTTTAATGTATGTAGGCGGTGAGATTATTTGGGAGTGATTTCGAGATGATCAGCCAACTATTTCCGGGCCGTACGCGACGACAGATCCGGCTGAAATGGAACAAAGAGGAGAAGAAGAGTCCGGAGGAGATCACGCGAGCGTTACTTGGGGGACCGAAGCGCGACTCGAGCACCTCTTCGCCCTCCTCCGTCGTGTTACCGGAAGAACTCTCGCCGATCTCAGAAGAAGAAGAAGGATTGGGGGAATCGGTGGAGGATCTGGTGATCCCATCCCAGTTGAACGGCTTCTCCGAATACGCCAGGATCGTCGGCATCGATACCTCCGGCCCGATCCCCGCCGATCCCATGGATAAATGGCGCGAGAAAGAACGCCTGGAGTTCGAGGAAAATCGCCGGCTCTCCGCCGAATCTTCTTCGACTAATAAGGCTAAGAAGAATGGCGTCGAGTCGCCCGGTAATCTCGACATTGATGATGATGATGATGCCGAACTCGTCGAGGAAAACTTCGGCGGTTGGGGCGAATTGGATGATTTGTAATCCCCGCTGTCCTGCTTTCCTTCGGTTATCGCTCTCTCTTTCTCTTCCTTTTTGGCCCCGCTTTTCTGCTCTCTCTCTTCTTCAATCTTTGTACTTCCTCCTTTTTATTCTCACTCACTTCTTCATCATTGTCAATAACTTTGTCAACTCTTCTCAGAATCAATTTGGTTTTGGTCTTTTTTTTGGGGGGGGGGTCATTTAATATCTTTATTTTAGCTTTTTTTTGGTTATAGATATTTATGTATTTTCGTGTCGGTTTGAAAGCTGTATAACACTATAAGTCTCACTTGCGTTTTTCCTTGGTTCTGAGACTTATATCAAACCATGTCCTGTCCTTTTTTTGGGGTTTTTTTTTTCTTGCTCTGTTTATATTCCTAATTCATGGTTGATTTAGTTGTTTTTTCACATAAATAATTGGAACAGAAAAGAAAGAAGAAACAGAAAAAAACAACTTATATGTTTGTTTATATATATATATAAATTGTAGATTCTTTTGTGTGTTTAGGGAAAATAACAATAGTTGTCACTGAAAGCATATAGATTGTTCTCATACATACACTAGTCTTATGTAAGCACATCCTTTTTTTTTGTGGGTCATGCAGGGAGCCAAACCCAAGCCTTATAATACATATTTTTTTGGAGAGTGTTGGTTGCAGGGTTGGGGAAGGAAAGGACGGTTTGCTATGGTTGTGTTGATGAATATAGAACCTGTTCTGATCAGGAAGAAAGAGAAGAGAGATGTACAAATGAGCAAGGAAAGAGGACAGAGAAAGTTAGGATGTAGTTCATGATGAGAGTGGATTGTTGAAGAAGAAGGATGATCCACCACAAACAATACTGGTTTTGTCCCAGGAAAAAATGGCAATTTGACTAGTGGTGGAAAATAGGTCAATTTCCTGAGGGTTTTTTTCCAAAATGAGTTATTTTAGCCCAAAAATAAAAATCTCTCAAACACTCCAAAATTGATATTTTGCTCATCTGTGGTCTTTTGATTTATTTATTTTTTTTTTGGCTAAAATCACTCATTTTAGCCTAATTTTTTTTTACTCCTGACCCATTTTGTAAAAAAAGGGGGTTGGAAAAACGGCTCCCTAAAATTAGACAAAAACTCCCGTTTTGGTCAAGGGGTTGTTGGGCAGGAGTCATTCCTCCAATTGGATGGCCGACTTTGGGAGTCGGCCATCCAATTATTTTTTTTTATTTTTTATTTTTGGATTTTCAGGGAGTTGGTGCTCCAAACCACCCCTCATGCTTGAGGGGGTTTGGGAGTTGCTCCCATGACCAGAAGGATTTCCTTCCGGTCAACAAGAAACAAAAACCTCATTGGCCGGAAGGGATTCCTTCCGGTCGATGAGGATGCTAATTTTGCAAGGTTGAAAACGGGTTGACTGAGCGGTTGTGCACTTGACGGATTGTTTTCCTTGTTTGAGGGTGTCGTGGGATTGATCAGCCCCAAGAGCTCTTGCAGTTGTTCATTGATACCACATTTCTCATTCCACCAATCAACTTAGATCCTTCTAGCCAGTTTATGGTCCTCTCAATCAACTGTAAACAGTAATCCCCTTCTCCATTCAAATAGTCTCGGCCATAAGCTAGATCAACCTTGACCTTGTACTTTTTGCTTGACAATTTCAGATGTTGAATGAGATCATAGGAGCCACTAAAAACGTTATGAATTTGCTCCAGAAAAAATGCCATAAGATGATGATGTAAGCTGTAGATCCTGAAGGGTTTGAACTCTTTGAGGTACTGGTTGTTTGTTCAGATCGATAGGGATGGCAACGGTTTCAGCCATAAAACATTGGTTGCAGAGAATGTTTGATCCAAGACGGGATTGAGTTTGGCCTGGACCCCCAAGATGCATTTGAATTGCAAGCCTGGGTCATTTGTCAAGTTGTATGGGTTTGTTAGCTGTAAATTGGTTATTATTTGTTGTTGAAGCTGTGGTAGAAGGCTTGATTGATTTTGTTTCTTGTCAACCGGAAGGAAATCCTTCCGGTCATGGGAGCGACTCCCAAACCCCCTCAGGCATGAGGGGTGGTTTGGAGTGCTGACTCCCTAAAAATCCAGAAAAAAAAAATTAAAAAATAATTGGATGGCCAACTCCCAAAGTCAGCCATCCAATTGGAACTCCCACCCAGCAACCCCTCAACCAAAATGGGAGTCGTTATCTAATTTTAGGGAGTCGTTTTTTGAACCCCCTAAAAGAAAGCCTCAGGAAATTGACTTATTTTCCACCACCCAAATTGCCATTTTTTCCTGGGGCAAAACTGGTATTGTTTGTAGTGTTTTTTTTTGAAGAGCAGAATTATGTAAATCTTTGTACAATACTTATGAAAATCTTTTGCAACATCTTGTCGAGAGTGTTTGCAATCCCTTTCAAAAAGGCATTTTGTATAATCCACCTGGACCAAGGTCCGGGACGTCCTCCCCTGCAGGTGCAGACTGTGCGACTATTTTCCTAACAATTTCACAATAGTTACAAAATCCTGTGCACCTGTAGTGTTTTTTTTTTCATTCTTCTCATTTTATGAATATGTACTTCATTTCTGTCTATTCATATTTCTCAGAGAAAAAAAATATTGCAGCTTTCCATTATTTCTTCACTGCAAGGAAAAGTCAGGCAACTGTGTACAGTTGACATGTGATATTACAAATACACCTTTGTAATATCACATGACCTTTTCTTGCAGTGATTGTGGCTTAGAAAAACCACTCCCATTTTAGCCAACAACTCCTAATAACTGTTGGCGGGCGTCTGTTGCAAGTTGTCTTATAAATCTAGGGGCCATCCACCCAAATTCATTTTTTTTTTTGGGGGGGGGGGGGTTTCTCCCCAAACCACCCACCATGCATGGAAGGGGGTGTGGGAGTTTCTCACACTTGACCAGAAGGGACCCCTTCTGGCCGATCTGGTATAGCTTCCTCATTGACTGGAAGGACTCCCTTCTGGTCAATGGGGTATAGCTGGCTCATCAACTGGCAGGAATCTCTTCCAGTCAATGAGGTACAACTGCCTCACTCAGTCAAGTCAGAGCAACCCCCCCCCCCCCATGCATGTATGAGGGGCAGTTTGGGGAGCCAACTCCCCTAAAAAAGAAACATGGAGCTAGGAAGACAACACCCAGAAATGTCCATAGGAGATTTAGAATATGACTCCCGGTGGTGGATGTCTAGCAACAGTTGATGATCAGGTTTTTGGGGGTTGGTGGAAGAACAACAGATTGATGCTCTCTCTCTCTTGGACATGAAGTTAGTCGCAGCCGACCGGAGAGATGTCCGTTCCAAGACTCCTCGTCCCTCCATTCACACTCACTAAGATTCCTACTGGAGAGATGAACTCAACAACACTCAGGCACAAAGATACCCCCCAGCATCTTTTTTTTCAAAAACATAATCAGGACAACCACCATTCACAAGATTCCTTAAACTTTTTTTTGGGGGGGGGGGGTGAGAGTGCCCCCCCCCCCCGTTTTCTCTGCCTCACAATCTCTCCCCACATACACACACACACAGCTAGCTCTGCCACAACCTGCATTTCTCCAGTTTTTTTTTTTTTTGAATTTGGATAATTTGGATAATTTGAACCATGAGACAAGCAAAAAAAAAAAAGAAAGAAAGAAAGAAAAGAAAAGTGATCAGAAACCTGCGAGTGGGTTTTAAGTGAACCACAGCCACATATCCTAGCAGAGAAGTCCAACCTTAAAAAAAATGTGCAAGCAAATCATGAGGAGCCAATGATTTGATATGTATTGACCTGATTCCACAAAAATTCTGCAAGTATGTAGGGCAAAAGATAGTGTGTGTTGATAAGCACCCTAAAAAGGGCTTCAAACATGAACCCCACTATAACACACACACACAAGACATTGTCTGATTTCCCATGTTCAAGCATCCACCAAGTAAGCTATCCCAATGACCCGAAAACCCAGCCCCAAAGACCACGATAGATGTTAATATTTTTTGTGAATGAATGAATGAATGAATGGAGCCAATGACAGAGAAGGACAGAGATAGAGAATAATAAGATTCAAACATATGAATTCAGAGTCAACAAAACAATAAAAACAGGAATAAGAATAATAATAATAATGAAAAAAGAAAATGATTGCTGAGATAAACAAAGGAAGAAGAAACAAAGAAGAGGGATAGAGCTCTGATTAATGAAAGATATATCAAGCTTATATATATGAGAATATATATACTATTTATATATGACCTGTTTCTTCTTCTTTCTTCAAAAAAAAGGGGGATGGAAGGATTGATAGATAAATGAATGACAAGAAAAGATAATGGAGGAGGTCAGATAGATAATAGATGATGATGAGGATGATGATGATCCAAAGGCCAGAAGAGAAAAACAGCTGACAAAGTCAAATCAAATTAAGTATTAGAACTCGAAATAAAGACCAAAAAAAGGCAAGAGCTTTTGTGTCTTTTGGGAAGAAGGGGATAAGACCACAGAGAAGAGCTGATATACAAAAAGGATAAGGATTGTTCGACAGATGAAGAAGCAGATGAATTGGGCGAAAGAAGAGAAGAAAAAAAAAAGAGGAAAAGCTGGGAGAATTAATGATGGACAAGATCGACGGGCAGTTTGGGGACCGGAGGAATAAGCTCGGCCTGATTGTTGACAACGCTACTATTAAAGAACAGTCCGCCGATGCTTTTCCTCCGCTTGCCGGCGTTGAGCGGATCGATTGTGCTATTCCGAGTGTCCACTCGGGAGAGTCTGGCGGCCTTGTGACGAATCGATTTGATCGATCCAAACCAGCCCGATTGAGCCTCATTTGCCAGAGAGGGATTATTATTATTATTAAGCGTTGATGATGGATGGTTATTCGGAATGGGTGAGCGGGATTCGACGACCGAGATCTTGGGTTTACGTTTGTCCTCTTTCTGAGTGATCGAGATCGGAGTGGTTGTCGAATCATCATCATTCAGCCCAGTTGGAGGGGCCGTTGCACCGCCGATCTTGAAGCTCTCAAGGAGCTTATTAAGTTTGATGATGTTCATCCGAGACGGGAGAGTTCTGCCGATAGTCTTGGGAGTTTGGCCGGTAGCAATTGGTCGTTTGGTGGGGGTAGGCGGGACCTGGCCGGGGAGCATGCTCTTGCGGAAGGGGTCGATGGGAGGGGAGTCGAAGGAGCTCATATGGTCCGAGAGGTCCTCGAGCAGATCCTCGTTCTTGGGCCGTTGGCCGAGCTCCTGGTAATCCTCCTCCACCGAGGTGGGCACGGTGGAATGCGAGCCATCGTCAAGGGGCGAGGATGAAGGCGCACTGGACTCGGTGGCCGAGGACTGGGAAGTAGACCGTCGATCGTCAATACCATGTCCCGCGATCCGCCTCGTCGATGGGAGCTCTTTGGACCGCTTGAACCGCGACGCAAACCAGCCTGGCGAGTCTTGCGATGGGTACTTCTCCCCAGCTTGTTGGGACATCCGCTTCTCCTCCTCGATCCGCGCCGCTCGCATCTTTTGGTACTCCTCCTTCATCTCCTTACGTTGCTTCTTCTTCTCTGCTTCTGCTTCCATCGTCGCCAATGCTGGAGTAGATGCAGATCTCAGAGCTGATGGGAAAAAGAAAAGAGTCAGTCTCCCTGATCATCATCGTCGGAATCTGGATGAAGTCGTACTCACGTGAAGGTCGATATACCGAACCAGCGTTCGTTCCGAAGCGGCCAGGGGGTCCTAGGACCTTGGAATGACTGGGACCGACCGAGCGAAAGCTGTGGACACTTCTGATACTACCCTCGCTACTGTTACGCGCCTGTAAAAGATCAATCGGTAGAAGTTTGAGTTGATGGAAACCGCCATTTATATCAAAAAAAGAGACGGAGAAAAAGACTGACGGTGTTCATATTAGGACGAGACAGGGCGAGACTACGACGCTGTTCGAGTTTAGCAAGCCGGACCCTTTCGGCCTCGACGTCGGGATCGAAGAACTGACCAGATCCAGCGGTTGCAGGCCGGAAAGATGTGGATGGGAGTGGGAAGAGACTGGCAGCATTGTAGAGGTCGCCTCTGACGGATGAAGAGTGTCTCGAGGAGAGAGAGGCGGTGGGTGAGCCGATGGCGATGGGAGGGATGGGTAGTGGTGAGGTGGCCGAATAGTTGGATGATCTTGAAGATGGACGAGTTGAAGTGGAGGCTGTGTGGTGGAAGGCGGATATGATGAGTGATGATGATTGTTATAGAAATAATATAAAGTGGTAGACTGACATGGGTGGTTGAACATGGCATGATGGTAGGGCGATAGGTCGGTTGTCGAGTTCCTGAGTGGATCGATGAAGCTACAGGATGTGGTGTTCAAGCCAAGGTTGGATTGCCGATTAGGCAGCAGAGGTTGATGAAGTTCAAGCTGGACAAGGAGAAAGAAAGTAAGTTTTGATGTGGTGGTTGTTGTTTTTCGCCGGGTTGTGTGGTAGGACAGACAACCACCAGAGGGATTAACAGTGTTGGTGGTTGATTACATACCTGATTAGTAGCAGTGGAGCTATTGGCTCTTCCCATCAGTTGACGATGGAAGTGGAGTCGTTGGTCGTCGGAGTGATTAGAGAGAGATGATTGAGGTCGACTGACAGTCATGGTGAAGAAGGAAGTTCGGGTTTTTGGATTAGTGAGTTTGGTAGGATGGGAAGGAAGAAGAAGAAGGAGGGGGAGAATGGGAGTGGGGTAGTGGTTTATAGTCGAGGGTCTGCTGAGCGATGGTTGGGCTTGGTTGGTCGAGATGGGTTGTTGGCTTGGGAGAGAGGGCTTGAGAGTATGTAGAGTTGAGTTGTTAGTGAGTGAGGTGGCTGAAAGAGATGGCTGAATGCTGCTAGTGTTTATAATGGTTGGAATCGAAATCGACTGTGTTTGAATTTTTGTTTTAATTCCGGGTTGTTCCTTTTGATCTTCAGTTGCTGGTCATTCAATCGGGTAAATGGGCAGGGGTTGAGGAAGTTGATAAGAAGTTGTTATTATGTTGGTTGCAATCTGAGAGTTAGATTGCAATCAGTTAGTGAGTGTGGTGTCTGAAGTGAGTGAGTGAGTGAGTGGGAGGGTGAGGGTAAGATCGAGGGGAATGAAAATGATGGGAAACACTAAAAAAGAGAGAGCAATAAATGAACAGGTCAAAACAAGTCAAGGGAATGATGTGAACAGGGAAGGGGGGGATTTTTGGACAGGAGTGGGGACAATCAAAACAGGGAGGATGGAACTGCAAGGGGATGGATGGATGGCGGCTGGTTCTGTTTTCCTTATTTAAAAGAAGGAAAGGGTAAGACCCCATTCAAGAGACCAACGAGATCTGAACCTGTAACACATTTGTACAAAAAACAGCCTCTTGGGCTGCGAGTTGAAAACTGGGTGCTGATGAGGATACAACCCAATTGATCCCACGTGAACCGGAGAAGATACAGATAGAGCAATTTTGAAATTGTACCGAAGAAGAAGAAGAAGAAGAATATTTCATACCTTGATGGTTGTAAGTTGTATGAGATCGGAGTTGTTCGGCTCGGGAAGACCAGAGTGCAATGAAAGCGAGGGGAGATGAGTGTTTGATGAAGTGAGAGAGAGAACAAGCACATTAAATATGCCCAGACTTCCCCGTGGAAAGAGCACGGATACATACCAGATGGCTTGCAAGCGACTACATAATATTTGACCAGAGGCCGTCCGGATCCAAACCCGCCCGAGCTGACTGAACCTGCCAACTAGAAATCACTCTTCAAGAGGACTCAAGTCTGGATTGCACTCGAGGAAAGGAACCAACATCAGTGGATTGGTTCGGTTCAGGACCGACGAGTCTGGCATCCAGCCTTCTACATAAGCAGCCGGACTTCCTTCCTCTTACAAACTCTGATCAAGCTTCAAGGAGCCAACCACTGCTGCCTGAATGTGGCTGGTCATCATCGGCACACTGGGAAAATGTATGTGTACATTCAGCCCTCTCTTCCCTGTCCTTCTATCCCTCCCCATCTCCATCTTCTTGGTGTGTATGTACGCCGCCGCCGATTGGACCGCTCCAACAAGACTTCATTCTGCCCCAACGCAAAATTGAGGTTTCTGAAGAGTTTTTTCAGGTTTTTTCTTCTTTGTAAAGAGGGCGAAATAATCATGGGAAGCATTTCATGTGACAACCTTCTGCTCCTCCATTCTTGAGCTCCAAATCATCATCATCATCAACATCGTCAAGCACCGATCAAACAGCAGATCTTTAGAAAAGCTTCATATTGGTCTGAAGGCTTCACAAATCGATCAGCACTGGAGCACTTGCCAATCCGAATAAAATCCTCCAAAACAAGCGATTCCTCCATAAAGATTGATCAGCCATATATAATACGGGAAGATTAATTGACCATCTCTTGATCAAATTGTCAATATCAACCTCCCCCCTATTACAATTTACATAGTATGCTAAGGAGAGGATGATGATCCATCATTTTTGGACACTGTATATTTATGTGAACACACCATTGTCAATCATTATAGGAATCCTACTATTTTGCTGCTGAACTGTTCTGGATATATTGAACCTCATGATCATCATCATCATCATCCAAAACTTTACAAGTAAAGATGATTCATGGAAACAAACATAAAGTGTTTGGAGGGCTTTCCAGTCTGCTCTGACATATGTATACACATTTGTCCAGCCATCACTTAAACTCTTCAGTTGGATGTGTACCGGGTCTGGGACTTGTTGAAAAAACAAATAAAAATGGAATTCATTGCAATTCTAGTTCACCAATCATTCCACACAGTCTTTGTAATGATAAGTCTTGTTGATGGCTGTTCTCTTTTGAATTTGGGGTGGGGGCCGGTTGAAGTGAGGTGAATAGAATTGGGCAAGTCCAGGGCTTGCACAAGGGTCCATGAGAAGATCTGGAAGTGAATGAAGTACAGTCTCCTCCCCGATGTTTATAGCCATCTGTTTTGAGTGCCACACCGGGAACCCAAAAAGTTCAACTCACAAGAGTTTGTGGAATGGTGGAAAATGGGTCTCAAAGAATGAATATGAAAAACCAAACATAATAATAAAAAAAGATTATAAGATTTGTAAAAAATCAAAATAAGAAAATCACAAAAACTGACAGCTCTATATATCAGGCCGGTTCAGGTCTGAAGTTCAAGGCAACTTTTAGCACTTTTACGGATAAACTTTTGTGAATTTTGTCAAATCGCAATCATGAATCATCACTAGGTTTGGATCGGAATTTGAGATTTTTGACAAACTTGGAAAATTTTAATGATCAATCCCATAAATTAAACTTGCTCCAAAGTTCAGACGTGAACCGTCCTAATATTTCTTTTAGGAAAATATTGTCAGAATAAGCCCCTAGGGGCTGAAGCAGTAACCAAACGTTACAAGAACAAGACATGTGATGACACAACCCAAAGTGAGTTGATTCATGTAGCACACAGAATATTTCTGACATGAAACTCACAACAGCCTCTTCTGTTTCAGAACCAAGCAGCGAGACACATCGCCACAGCCCTCGGGGCCAAAGCCACCTGAAACCAGTCGCGGAGGACAACAGTGAAAGCAAGGGCAACGAGAAGAGCACCACGGCATCTCCGTGAGTATTTAATCAGGCTCTCTCATCAGATCAAGAGACCACCAGCACTCACCACTCGCCTCTGTTCACAGCCCCATAGCAAATAGAATCACCAGCCCAACCGGACCAACACTACTCAATAGAATAATACAAAGCAGCGAGTAAGTCCACTGTTGGGAAATCAGACAGGGAATGAGGATGGACACTAACTTGAATGTGTGACCAAAACAGAATACCATCCGAATCCAGAACACTGTCGTAGACCTCAGGGAATAAGACACGATATCTCGTACCAAAACACCAAAAGTAAATAACTTCCAGACAATAGCAAACAAACGAGATAAGCAAATGCTGACGTTCCACTTATGCTGTTGTCATGTAGAAAACATTCATCACTTTCTTCCTTATTCATCTCTTCTCACATTTCAATCTATCTCAGACAACTGTTATCGGCAAACACCGAAACAGATCTTTCCACTCAGCCAAGAAGCACGACACATCGTTCTGCCCTTAGGTACATTTCGGTTCTCTTTCTCTTTGCTCAGAACTCTTGTACATACAAAGCACTATTAGAACCGTGATCTAACCAATAATAACTGCTCTTAGTTGTTTAAAATCTAACAAATATGAAATCTCAGAAGTTAAGAAGTGAAAATTTGGAAAAACAAAATGACTACTTGGTGGTTTAAAAGCGTGCCTAGGGGCTCATTCATCAAGAAATGTGGGATTCTGGTACCACAATCTACTAATTTTGACTGCAGGGTGTCCCCCACCATGCTCAAACTTTTCTTGGCTCTTTTTTTCATTTATAATCATTCTTTTCATGTTCTGAAATTGCCCTCTGTGTGATCACTTTTCACTCAAACAAAAAAATTAAAGTTTTCAAAAAAAGCCAATTTTCTTTTATCTTTTTCACAAATTTTATAATCTTTATTATTATTATTATTATTATTTTCATATTCATTCTTTGAGACCCATTTTCGACCATTCCATAAACTCTGGTGACTTGAAGTTTTTGGGTTCCCGGTGTGGAGCTCAAAATAGATGGCTATAAACATTGGGGAGGAGACTGTACAAGACTTTGCAATAAGGCTCACCACCCTCATAAGTTTACATGCAGTTTGTGTTGGGAGTCTGAATCTGAGCCTGGGAGGGGTGTCAGCCCAGTGAAAGTGGTGAGATGAATATGACATTGGGTGAGGTTGAGCCTTATAGATCCCAGGAGTAGAATCAATCAAAGTTAATCCTCTCTAATCATACTCCAGAGACTTAGTTTATTCCAAGCAAATTTGATCCAAATGCTGGTGAGGGCACACACAGACACATTACTATAAGTTCCTCTCATCTTCTGAGCTTCCATGCACTACCAGAAACCCCATCCAGAACAAATGGGCATATTGATTCAGGATGGTTATCACCCAGGCTTTGGGACAACTAATGGATGAGAGAACACAGGAAAAAGGATGGCACAGGAGTATACGATTGAAGAAAGATTAGTAATTGAACAACAAAAGAAAATGTGCTTTGTTGTGCCATTCTCACCAAGTCGAAATAGGGGAAGAGATCTCCATCAGAGGTTAGGGTTGGTCTTGATGGTTGGGGATGGTAGGATTGATCTTGATGGACAGGCTTGGATGAGTCTTGCGGTGAGGATGATAGTCAGCAAAGTGTCAATAGGAAGGAAGGGAAAGAACTGGTGTGTTGGCAAGATGGTCGAGAAGAAGGGATGTGCTTATGGAATGCAATTATTAGAGAGTAAGAGTCTGCTTGAATCTCTGGATGATTACAGAATGAAGAAGAAGAGCGTTGAATGGTGTAATCAGGAGATTGTCGACATGCTTCGTTGGGCAGAGGAACAAGTGGTTTTTAGGAACAGAAGAATATCTTTATAAATTTTATAGATCCTTATTAGGGCCCCCAAGCAACAAGGAAAAAGAGAGTGTGAGAGAAAGCAAGTTGCTTATCAAGTATTTGAGAAAAGGGGGCCGAGCTTGAGTGTTGCTTGTGTTGAGTGAGCTCATGAGTTTGTGCACAGACCATGTCATTGGTCCGAGTGTTTAGTCAAGAGGGAGATCAGTTTGTCCAAGTTGTGATGCTCAGATCTCAACAGGTTTGACATGATGATCAATGGGATTTGAGAAGTGGAAGTGGACTGTTGTTGATGGCCCAGTTCAGAAATAGTTGGCACAGTATGATGCACTATGAAAAAAAAAAAAACACCAAACTGGTGGCAGTTGAAATGCAGGTTACTCCCAATGTAACTTATGTTGTACTGCAATCTATTTGTATGTAAGAATATCTGTGCAGTACCTGTGCATTAAAGTATGGATGAGGTAATGGCTGAGTAACAACCCAGCTTTGAAGAGAGTTTCTGCATTTCAACTGGCAGCAGTTCCTTTTTTCACAGTGATATGAGTACATAGTGTGCAGTTTCACAGACCGGAATCTGGGATAGATTGAGTTCCAGCATGTCATAATCCACCCCTATAGCCTAGCGCTGGAACCCGTTCCCAGGATCTCCGGGTATACCCGGCGGGTACACCGACGGTTTAGGGCTCCGGGACAGCTCTTCAGGAGCCCGAAGACCGGCAGGCAGGTTGGGTACGGTCCACAGGCCGCCTTGGAGATACCCGCGGGTATCTCGGGTTTGCGCTGGGGGAGGGGCAGTGGGGGTCAATTGGCCTCTACTCCTCCACAAACTGGGGTACCCGTGGGTATCTCCAAGGCAGGACCTCGTATTGGCGGGTATACCCTCTGCTGGGGCGGGTATACCCGCTTTGAATTCAACCCCGCGGGTACCCGTGGCCCGTTCCCTATACCCGCAGGTACGTCTCGGTCGCACTGATTTGTGTACCCGAGGAACGGGAATACCCTCGGGTCGGGGCGCGGGCAAGGCCAAAATGCTTGGGTTGTGAATGAATAGACTAAAGTGTTGTATTTCATAAGTGCCAGCTAAAAGAAATACAACATAAAGAAATGAAATGAAATGAAAAATAGTAGTCACCTAAAGCAGTAGATGGCTTGGAAAAGACAACAGTGAACTTTAAAGAGAGAACAATAAGGGAATGAATAAGAAGGGATGATGATATTGAGGAAGGTTTTGGAGAAGAGATGGTCGGCGATGTTGTCGGATGGAAGGGATGGATTCGATTCAGAGATCAGAAATGATTTGATGATGTATGTCGAATGGAAGCGATTTGGCTTGATTCAGAGATCAAGTAAGAGAGTTATGATTTAGATAGGTCAAAGTGAGTAATAGAAAAGGTTGACTTTGGAGGAATGGAACGAATAGATTTCGATGAGATCCTGAGGAGGATAAAAGTCGATAAGATAGAAGAGATGATAAAGGAAAGGAGATAATTGATTCAATGCACAACGACAGCAATGTCGAGGGTCCAAGCACGATGATGCCATTGGTGTTTGGTTGGTTCGCAAAGGTTCAGGCACGATGATGTCATGAGTGATTCGGTCTTGGGTAGAATAGTGGTCTGAGATTAGAGAGGTATGAGCTGAAGTTAGACCTCAAAACCCCGCGGGTTCCAGCGCTACTATAGCCGACCTTGG